CAACCCAAACTGTACCTTATAACCTTTTAAATGGAATAACATATAAGAATGGTAAAGAAAAAGAATAACTACGTGAATGTATACCTATAATTGTATGTACAGTAAGAATATAAAACACAATATAGGTAAACAATATTTGGTTATAAATAGCTAAGTATAAATAAATAAAGAAATGTACATAAAAATGGATAACGAATAAGGAGATTATGAATGCAAGATAGACATGTATAGAAGGGGAAACACTAACTGCAAAGAAACCGATACGGAACTGCTGTATGATATACGATGGAACTTCATATGTTTGTTTTTGTTGATGTGTTCGTGTGTTTAAAATAAAAATTTATAAAAAGAAGAAAAAAAAGAAAAGTCCTCCCTTCACCCCAGAGCTTGCAGTTATTCTCTCCTATTAGAATTTTCTACCGTTGGAATAAAAGTCTTAGCAAATTATCAGCATCTTAATTCTTAGCCACTAATGACTCTTCTGTGGGACACAGAGAAAGGCTGGTGATAAAATATAGGGGAGGGGGGTGGGAAGCCTTAAGAAATCATTTTAGTTTTAGCAAGGTTTTAATGGTGGCCCTGTCCCTCTGACGGACGCGAATGAGCGCGAATTACAGTTTCACATCATTGGCAATTGATATTGTACCCCAGCGTGGGATCTCACACCAGAAACCCAAATGGAAATGCACATTTTCCTTTCACCTGCTGTGCCAAAATACTGCATTTCAAGTATTGTTTAACTCTTTCCTCTTCCAAATTCTCTTGCTCATACAGCTTTGTGATCTTGAATAATTTTCTTCTTCTCTACCATTTCCAGAGCAATTTTGCCCTTGATTGTTTTTAAATTGCAATATTTTCTTTGATTCTCTTTCTTTTACACCAACCATCTACCCGGTTTATTAGCATTTTCAAAATACGTAGTTCTGTTTGGCTCCTCTGATTTTTTTTGTGCTAGTCCCTCTTTTTCCAGTAAGTCCATTTTATGTTTATTTATATCCATTTTTTTAATTTTGATATTGTTTTTTGTGGCGAATTCTGTAAGCTCTTTTTCAAGGGCCTTGTAATCATTCTCTAAGCCTTTAAGAAGTTGTCTCTTCTTGATATTTCTCTTTCTTATATAGTCTATTATCAAACCTCCAGTATACGCTTTCATTGCATCCCAGAGGTTCTGCATTGATGTATCTTCCTTTCTATTTTCTTTAAAGAAAAAAGCCAATTCTTTTCCCATTTTCTGTACAAAATCCTTCTCTTTTAACATCGTATTATTTCATGTCCATCTGGATCTCTTTCTTTGTCCTTTCCATTCAACTATAATCGGATTATGATCTGCCCAAGTACGGGCGCAATTTCGGCATGGCATATACCCGGGATGGCGAACCTGTGGCACGCAGAGCCATTTGTCAGGGCACGCGAGGTGTTTTTTCAGCCTTTTTTAAAGCCATTTTTGTCCTCCCCGGGGCTCCAGAGGCTTTATAGGAGCCTGGGGAGGGTGAAAAGAGCCTTCCCCCACCCCATGGAGGCCCTCCGGAGGCCTCAGGAGCTTCCCTGAAGTCTCCGGAGCACAAAAAAAACGGCTCTATGGGCAAACCGGAAGTTCAGGAACGGAGAGCCGACGTGGCGCAGTGGTTAGGGTGCAGTACTGCAGGCCACTTCAGCTGACTGTTATCTGCAGTTCGGTGGTTCAAATCTCACCGGCTCAAGGTTGACTC